AAATTGTTGTAGGTACATTAATTTTCGAGCAATCATGACGACGTCGAACAACTGACATACCTAATTAAACACACCGTACACGCCGAACTATTGTGAGTAACGAAAGTATGTTATARGTTACTTTTTGYGTGGCCATGACGGCGTCGGACCGTAGACACAATTAMTCACTGAGAGCACGCCGAATTATTGCGAGTTACGCGAATTTGTTGAACGTTACTTTTCGCGTGACGATGACGACGTCGGACCGCTGACATAATTAAACGCGCGCCTATTATTGCGAATAACTCTAAATTGTTCTTNCTTTTCGCGTGACGATGACGACGTCGGACCGCTGACATAATTAAACGCGCGCCTATTATTGCGAATAACTCTAAATTGTTCTTRGTTACTTTTTGCGTGATGATGACCACGTCGGACTGCTGATAATCGAAACCATTATACGGTTAGTGCGACTGGTCATAGGCGAAAAAACGTATCGTTCGAATGGGAATCATAATAATTAAACACTGCGCGCATGCCTATAATTTCGAGTAATTTGAATTTGTTATAAGTTACTTTTCGCGTAATTAAGACGACGTCGGACCTCTGACATAATTAATCACAGCGTGCACGCTGACCTATTGAGAGTAACGTGAATTTGTTATAGGTTACTTTTCGCGTTGCCATAACGGCGTCGGACCGTTGACATAATTATTCTCAAAGTGCACGCCGAAAGATTGCGAGTAACTCTAATTTGTTATTCGTTACTTTTCGCGTGAAGATTACGAAGTCGGACCGAGGACATCGTTAATCACTGCGCACACGCCAAACAATTGCGAGTAACGCGAATTTGTTGAATATCTGTGGATTTATCTAACTGATTTAATGTAATAATCTATGGCGATTGCCAAAGTCGATAAAAAATTCTAACATTTCAATTAGATAGCAAAACAGTAATGAACGAAAAACATCCTGCTTTTTGCAAACTTTTAGTTTTTCATAGATCACATAATATAAAGACTTTAATACAGCAGTACCTGATGCGTTTCCGTGTCACCGTCGCACTGAACGAAAAAATAGTATATATGAATCAACAAAAATATTTGATTTTGATTAATTATCAATCAATGGTTTTTTATTATTTCAATTAAATTGTTATTCATTCAATGATATAATGATTTAATTTATTCATTCAATGATATAATGATTTAATTAATAAAAATTGTATGGAACCAAGTATTTCAAATTTATTAAATCAACGTTGCTTGGTTAATTCAATAAAATGTATTTTGTTATTATTTGTATAAATATAATAAATCAATTATTTGTTTTTATTAATTCAAGTAAAATTGTATTTAATTGAATAATTAAGTTGGTTAAATTAATAATATTTTTTATAAATTCAAGAAAATCATTTTACCGAGTTCTAATTTTGGGAATTACCCGTTTCCGCCAAAATTTGAAATGACCGTTTCCGCCAATTTAAAAAAGGTTCGATTCCCGTTTCCACCAATCTACCTGCTATGGAATAATAATTATTAATTATTATTATTCATAGTTCATAAATTTTAAGTGTTTTGGTTCATCGTCGATCGTAAAAAATTAATCTATGATAGTGGCGATTTTAAATACACACATACATACAATATATATTCGGTACCTATCCATACACACTCTATAAAATATATATTTATTACTTAAATATGGAATCATTGTATATAAATCGATAAGATTGAAACTACCGATAAGAACATTTTTTACTCCATAAAACTATACTATATCTATTTATGAATAAGTGACTTTTACTTTATTATTGTACTTATTAAAACTATATAACAAAATATTATGTAATTATTATTTGCTTTATTATTTATAAATATATTTTCCAATATTTAATATTATCATATTATATACGACGTACAATTACTTCAAGTTGAAAATAATACGAATAATACTGCAATTAATACAGAATATTAAAATATAATATATTATATTATTATAATGTATATAATTATAATAATTTTACCATAGTAGGTAGATTGGTGGAAACGGGAATCGAACCTTTTTTAAATTGGCGGAAACGGGCGATGGCGGAATCGGCCACTTCAAATTTTGGCGGAAACGGTACATGCCCCTAATTTTATAACAAAAATAGACCCTATAACCCATGGCAATAATGCCGGTTTTATTATTATTTATACCCGTTGGGTTTTCCCTTAGTAAGTAGGTAAAATAATAAATAGTATGGAAAAATTTATAAATACACGTAGCAGACTCCAACAAAGCCCGAAATATTTGATATTTAAGGTAAGTTTGTTTTCATACCTATTCTTTTGCGGCTTATTAAATTGTAAAAAAATTATGTACACGTTAATGTCGTTCATACACTTTTACAATGGTGATTTTTGCAGAGTTCTTGCATTTGACCTATGCATTTGATACTAAAAACTTAAATACTCGCCAAGATTATGACTTTTTTAAGTATATTTTTTTTTAAACTTTATTTTAAAAACACACAATCTGTAAATTAAGTTTACAATAACGATGTCGAACCACTGATAATCAAAACCATTCGGTTGACGCCGTACTATTGCGATTAATACGAATTTGTTAAAGGTTACTTTTTGCATGACCATGTCGACGTCTGACCKCTGACGTAATCAATCACGCCTTGCACGATGAACTGTTGGGAGTAACGCGAAATTGTTGTTTATTAATTTTTACGTGACGATGACGACGTCGAACCGCTGACACAATTTAACACTCCGCAAAGCTTAACTATTGTGGGTAACGCCAATTTGGTATAGGTTACATATCGAGTGACCGTAACAGCGTCCAACCGCTGACATAATCAATCACATCTCGCATGCCGAACTATCAAGAGTAACGCGAAATTTATTAACATTACTTTTTGCGTGGCGATGTCGCGATGACGACGTCGGACCGCTGACAACCCAAACCATGCGTTTGACGCCGTACTATTGTCAATAATGAAATTTTAATTATAAAATGCTTTTCGCGTGACGATGACTACTTCAGTCTGCTTGAATATCCAAACCATGTGGTAGTCCCGTACTATTGGGAATAACTCGACTTTTTTGTATACATTAATTCTCGAGTAATCATAACGACATCGGACTGCTGAAATAATCAATCATAGGGCGCGCGCCGAACTATTTGAGTAACGCTAATTTGTTAAGTGTTTTATTTCGCGTGACGATGACGATGTCGAACCACTGATAATCAAAACCATACGGTTCGCGTGAATTTTCGTAGGCAAAAAGAGTGTCAGTCGAACAGAGTCAAACTAATTATCACTGGAATGAAGCCGTATACTATTGCAAGTAACGCGAATTTTTTGTACATTCCTTTTCGCGCGATCATGACGACGTTCGACCGCTAACACAGTCAATCACGCCTCGCAYGCCAAACTGTTGCGGGTAATGCGAATTTTTTGTACATTACTTTTCGCGTGATCAGGGGCGCAGGTATGGATGGTTAATGGGAGAG